CTGGAGGGTCGTATGTTGATGCGCAGAAGCCCAGCAAGCAGATGTGGACATGGGGTCAGACCAGCAGTACGTTTTCCACGCTGCGGTGATTCTTCAAGCGCCAAATTTCAGCGGGTCAACCAAGCAACGACGTCGTGCGTTTATGCGGGCATACCAGAAGTACGTAGCCCAAATCAACGCGCTGCAAACTGCCGAGCACACAGAGTGCTTTGAGGCGGTGAAGAAGGCCCTGGCCGGAATCGTTCCTCTCTCCCATCCTCAAGCCGACAAGGTAGTGTGTCTCTTTGACGACGCTAGCGTTGGCTTTTGGGGAGCCATTGCAACGCAAGTCCCTCCTGAAGACCTAGACCTCGAGATAGCCGAACAAAGCCATGAGCCGTTGGAGTTCCTCAGCGGCTCGTTTGTAGGGGCAAGCTCGCGTTGGCCCATCGTGGAGAAGGAGGCTTAGGCCGTGGTTGAAGCGTGCAAGCGATTGGATTACCTGCTGGTGCGTCCAGGTGGCTTCCGTCTCTTAACAGACCACCGCAACCTGGTGTATTTCTTCAATCCAAGGGGACAATGCCCGAATATGGCCAAGTACCACGCGGACAAGTTGCAGCGCTGGGCCCTGGTCATGTCTACGTTCCCCTACACGATCGAAAGTGTTTCCGGTGAAAACAATGTATGGGGCGGCTTGCTGAGCCATCCGCGAGTTGCAAGTTGGTTGCGTTGGTGTCGCCCATGCAACACAAGGGTTTCGAATGGCCTACAGCTGCGTCCATCCTCAAGATACAGAAGGAGTGCCTGGCTTCCGGTCAAGCCCCATGCGGTGTGATATGGAAGACGAAGTTCCATGTGACAATCGATGACAAAACAAAACTGGATCCATGATGATGCTGTAGATCTGCAGCAACGTCTGTGCGTGATCGCGCACCAAGGATTTCCGGTTTCGACCCCGCTCAGCGGTATTTTGCATCCCGTGATGAAGGAGGTGCTCAAAGTGGACTGGCTGCATGTGGCCGAGCTCCGGGAAGCTCTGGACGAGATGCATCGAGAAGTGTCGGCGACAAGCGACACGAAGCGGGCTCAAGCGCGGGACCGGTCCAACAACAAGCCTGGTGTCAAGTGGGCGAACTTTGCTGTCGGAGACTACGTGCTAGTCGGATCGGTTGTGCGCCATCCAAGCAAGCTGGTCCTTCACTGACGTTGTCCCTGTCGTGTGACCCGTGTCATCACCGATCATGTGATGGCGGTCGAGCAACTAGTGCCGCCGCATGCAGAGACTGTTCGTCACGTCTCAAGATATTCAGTGAAGCCGCTAATGGAATGGCTGAAGATCTTCTCGACCAAGTAGCGTACGGTGAAGGTGGCTTCCATGTTGAAGCCTTTATGATGGTGCGCGAAATCAAGGGGCAGTATCGAGTACTTTTAAAGTGGCTTGGCCTCGAAGATGACTACGCCTCGTGGCAACCGGCGGTTAACCTGTATGAAGATGCCCCAGTACTCCTGCGAAAATGGATTGCGTCGACGGAAGATCAAGGACATGCGAGTTACACTGGAGGTGACCCTGGGTCACCTCGTTTAAGGGGTAAGTGTTCTGGGTACCCAGAGCAGACTCAACCTTGCGAAAGGTGAGTTGGCTGGTGAGCTTGGGAGCCCAAATTCCAAGGAGTGGGACTACAGTAGTTGTACTGTAGTAGGCCTTTTAAGTGCGGTTACGCACGGCTAGCCTCACTTCGGTGCACTTCGGTGTGAGGGGCCGCGTGAACTGACTGTAACTCAGTTTTGATTTTGCATTGCTTCCCGAAACGAAGACGCCTTGCGAACTAACAAGGCGCGGACTCATAACAAATCAGCCAATAAGGGGCATCTGACGAATCTGTTGCCTACCATGATGCTGTGCATTGGCCAGACTGATCTCGCGCATGTACGCTTCGCACTGGTCCATGAGCCGACGCTTCTGCACATTCGTGCGTCCATTAAACGACGGGGCTTTGGGCACCTCTTGGAATCCATAGAATTTTTGCACGCCAACTGCCGCCGGGAACTGGACGGTTGGGGGCGCTGGGGTCGCAGTGAAGGCATGCCATCTGGCAGTCGTACGTCGCCGAATGTCTTCCAACGCTTCCGCTTGTCGGATCGAAGATGCAGCAGCCGCTGGTAGCCCGTGATCATGGTGCTCAGTGGCTCGGCGCTGGGCCTACAGGTGGGCCATAGTTGGTTCAGCTGGTCACGCTGCAATGCCAGCTCAACCATCAATCGCTGGTTGAGTTCCATCTGGGCATTGGCTTGCATCTGTTGCTGTTGATAGAGTGCCATAAACTGTTCGTAGTTTGCTGGCCCTGGCTCCAACAGCTTGTTGTACAGTGTCAATACGCGAGGCCTACGCGTTCACAGCCTGGCCCACCTGGTGACGCAGCTGCTGGACAGCTATGCCGGGGGGATATTGGGCAAACGGTGGAGCCGCGGAGGCGTAGACGGGGTCTTGGTATCGGGTTCGGGTCAGCACGAGAGCAGGACCAGTACATGATGACAGAGGGTCGAAAGAGCTTCGTCCTCCATGGTCACAGGAGAGAAAGGGCAAGAGCGCGGTCTTGCCGACTGAGGCTGCGTGAAGGGAACTCGGGCACAAAGTGTGTCCGCAGGAGCAATTCACTAAAGAATTCTTTGTTGTCGCCTCCAGATAGGATAGACAGTAAGATGGTAAATTCCAATGTGATTAATTATGTTAGGTCACAATCGTAGCTGGCTGAGGGTCTCAAGCAGGCCCTCTAGCAAGATGTATTCTACTCGGCTATTCATCTTGAAATTGTATGCAAAATGGAGTAAGCCAGTAAAAGTCCAGGATTCGGGAAATATCACAGTTCTCGGACGACCGAGAAAATTGAAGCCCTTTTACAATGGTTTTCACCGGACAACATAGCCCCCGCACGCCGCTAAACGGCCCAATGGTTTATCGATTCCAAATACCTCTCTACCGCATAATCCATCCCAACCAACTAGGTCCAACAAAACTCGCTTGGTTATGCAAACGTTTCTGCTACTTGTCGAGGATACGGGGGCGACTCGGACGTCTTCGTCGGTAATAACCTGGTCGCACGTTGAGATATCCTTCGAAATGCCAGACTATATGTCTTCGCAGTCTGCCGAGGTCTTGGCATGCGCCCCTGTCACATTTGACCCAACCAGATGGGAAATTGGCCTCGCAGGCCAGCCCCTGACCAGAGAAGCCTCTCTTGCACTTCTGTAGCACATCCCAAGGTAAAGCTCTTCGTCCGACTCACACGTGCCCAACTCAGGCTTCCCGATGATGGCTTTCTTTGAACAAGACAGGTCGATTAGCCGGCCAGACCAAGCTTCTCGCAGTCTGGTGGATTAGGGCGGCAAAGGCAACAGCCAAAGGCCGTGTACCCCTCCTGGCATTTTGGGTAAACAACAAGTCCAGTCTTCTCGCACTTGCCGCGGCCGCCGTTGTCTTTTTCGCAACGTTTGAACATGCCGCTGCGACTTAAAGCTTCGTCAAACTTCCAAGGGTAGCCATCTCCACGGCCGTATTCCTTCAAGCAGCAAAAGAGGCCTTGGTCCTCAAAGACTGACCCCTTCTCGCCTTTGGGGCAGTTCGTAAGCTTTACGAGACATGCCACTCGGGAAATGCGCGTAGCATGACTTGGGCACTGTGCCAACGCCACGAAGATACGAGGTGAGCAAGCAGAACGATGGGGGTGCCTCTTGGAGTTGGCGAGACACAGACGTTTCGTTATGCGTGGCCGAGGCGGCCCCAGCGATTACAGTCAGCGCAATAATAAGCTTCATGATGGCAGGAGCAAGTGAGCGATGCAAGGCAAGTACCAAAATGAACGACTCGAAATCCGGCCCGTGATGACAACTTCCTTTGTCAGACTGCGCAGAGTGGCTTGGCTGCGAAGTGCCGGCAGCTGGATTCGTTTGTCGCCGCTGCAAATCGAATTCACCGGCACGACGATTGGTGCCGGACGACGATGGAGATGGTGGGCTACGGATGCGCTCCGATGAGGCGGGTGCAGAAGTATCCGAAGGCGGGGACGTGTTGTTCGGTACGCGGCGTGGGGTCACCGTTAGAATGCTGCAGCTCAGCTCACTTGCGACGGCAAACATCCTCAGCGTGGTTGCGTATCTTGCAGTAGCTGAAGACAACGGATGCGTCATGGTTGCCTCGACGGAAGCGGGACTTTGGTTTCGACGCAAAGCTGTCGTTAATGCTGCATCCGAAGATCCATAAGAGCATCGGATCTCGTTTTGAATGGGCACAGTAAAGAACTTGTCATCGATGACTTCGCCGTGTCGAAAGACATTAGCCTAAAAGTTGATGTAGAATTCCAAAGGCTGATCGAGGCTGTTTAGGAAGATGTGAACTTGGAGTTTGGTGTGATAGTCATCCTGGTATCGAGTACTTCATCAAGATAAATCTTGAAACGATCGCAATTCGCACAGACTGAATCGTTGTGGCGGATGCGAATCTCCACCAGATTTTAAAACAGATAAGATTCATCCCTAATGGACTAGGAGCCATAGCGTTCGTGTAGGAGTTTCATCATGGACGCAGCAGAAAGGTACTTGGAAACCATACGTGGTGGAGGTTGTCCTGCCTGAATAATGGCGCGGGCAAGACGGTTCTTAGAGATGATGCCAGCATGAGTTGGAGGCATACAGTGAACCCCGGAAATGCCGACACCCCCAAAAACGCCGACCAACTCTACAGCATGATCTGTTCTACCACCTGTATAAACTTCAATACTACCTCAGAAATGTCATCCTTTTTACCTATTGCAAGTGTAGATACAAAAACAAATGTGATTGACTGACAAAAATTCTCCTTATTATAGCCAGTCAAGCTGGACAAAGGCGCTTAATTTTCTATTTTGCCTCCATGCATTTCAGGATGAAACCATGTCGGCTTCTCCGGGGTTCACTGTAATGCCATCGACAACTTCAAGGATTTCCTTGAATTCGAGGTACGTATTGAGTCGACACTTCCACTTATTGAACGAATTTCCGATGAACAAATGGACAATACGTTTAAAATCCATGGTTCAGGACAATGAATGTAGTGGAAAAAACAACAAATTAATTGAAATTAGTTGTAATCGCGAGACTTGATAATGGACAGAAGCTTGGCCTTTAAAGCTGTCAACTTCGTTCAAGATTGACTTGTCCACGAGGTCGGTGGATTGTTCGATAAGCAGGGAGAAAGTTCGAAAGTGGTACATGTTGTAGTACGACCTTGGGGTTGGAATGGGAAAATCCTTAACAAATACTTCTTGGCGATGCTTCAAAATTCGATCGGCCTGCTTAAATGCGTTAACAAGGTCTTGTTGGACTTTATCGGCTCTGGTGTCTTCCTGGAGGCGGCAAACGACGCGGTCTTCTTCGCCTTGACTTAACGCTTCTTACGCAACATGTTCCCTTCGGTCGCACTTACGAAGGACTTAACTGGATTTCGCATAAAATGGCAAACCCTACTAGGAGTTTAGTGCCAATCCAGACTCGCACTTACAGTCTTTCCCAATAAAGGTACTGCCCCGTATACTCACAAAAGGAGAACAGGTAGAGCTGTAGTGTAGTGAGCTGGTTGGAGGGACGCTGGATGACGACTCGGACAACTTGGGCGCCAGCGGCAGACAACTCGGGAAGGTGCGAGAAAATTCTAGCTAAGTGCGGGGTTCTTGACGCGGTGTGTTTGATCTCAGCGGCGGGGAAGGCGGCAGAGGGAAGCGTAGGTACTTGGGCTCGTTACCAATTGAGTGTGAATTGGAAAGTAATTGATTAAGTCGAGCTTAAGCTAGACTGCGAACGAGAATGTCGCATTCTAGAAATTTCTGCATTAGGCAACGCTAGGGCGATGTGGCTTCCGTTAGCTTTCACTTGCGCAAAGCTCATGGTACATGCCGAATGGACAGATTATATCTGACGCGATCAAATAATTCACGCCGATATGGCTCAACAGACACCGATACGAGATCATCCACATCGATGGAGTGCTCGATTGAATCATCACACTATGTGTGAGAACTGCCGTATGCGCCACAGTGGTGCCGCGACCTTTGTTTCTCGGCAGTGCGGCTTGCTTGGTAATGACCCATGGACCATGTACTGTGATTCAATGAGATGTATAAATCGAACAAAGCATCGCCAATATCATGCGCTTGACTTCGAGCTACGCAAACTTGGCGTGAAAATGCGAGCGAAAGGCGTTCCGTACAAATCGGTTGCGCAAGTCCTGTTGTTAGAAGAGGATTGGAATGTCACCAGAACAAAAAACCTTTCGTTCGACGGGGGCTGTACAAGCCTTTCATGACCGCGCTGCGCAATTTTACGACAATTCAATGAATGCTTAATCTTGGCCGAGTTCTTCCAGCTATCGTTAAGGAGTTTGGCGTCGGTAAACGCAATGCGTCGGTGCCCCGAATGTGCATGGTGGGCTAGAAACTATGGTACGAAACTTCATCAACTCGTAGTCCTCATTTCGTGTAACGTTAGTCGTTGGATGCGTACTTCTCAGCCTCTCGCATCAGCAAAACTGCTGGAGGCGGGGGAAACGATGGCAGGACCATCCTGGAGTACGCGTATTTTTTATGCTGTGTTCCTGATCATCTCCTTTCAACGATCTCTGACACTGAGGATCGGGATGCTCCACAAACCGCGTCAATTCGCAAGAGTGAGATTTGAAAGACCCGAGAATGGAGCAGACGGGATTTGTTGCGAGTCATGGTGCACATCAATGTGTCATCGATTATGTTGGTATGAGCAAATTTCTGCATACTAGACCGAGCAAACCGCTAGATGTGGACAAGGATGAGAAATTCAAGTACTGCGACACATTGGTGGCTGCTAGACGGAAAGAAATTGCTCAAAGCTGCCAACGCGCACCTTTGAGCAATATATATTTATATTCGGTGCTGGCAAAAGTATATGACCACCTACATATTTGAGTCTGCACAACAACCAAGCACGAAATGTGGGCTAGTACATGCACTCTAGCATTAAGAAGGCATCAGGCAAGACATCATGAAAGTCATGGAACTTGGCGCCACATACTGTAGTCGGCACCCCACATGTAAAAAAGACAAGTTTGAAAATCACCACATGGCAAAAAGTATAAAACCACCCCGTCATTTTTGCGTTTGTCAGCGTTTTTTAGCTCCAAAAACATGTTTTTATATAGCTAACGTCGAGTTAAATCGATTCCCGCCGTCACTTCATTTGAAAACATTATCTGTGCATGCCTGCAGGACCGAAGCTCACCGAAGAATAACAGGGAATGATTCTAGCCCTGAACGCTGTCGGGCAGAGCCAAAGAGAGATCGAGCGCCTTGTTGGTCGCTCTCGTGGAGCAATCGCTTTGTTCCTTCGCAATCCTGCCAAATACAACACGAAAAAGCGCACTGGACGACCATCTAAGCTCTCACCAAACGACAAACGTCGCCTTCTTCGAACTGCCTTGAACTCATTTTTGAGTTCGAGGGAGCTCGTAGAAGAGTGCGGACTGGTCATTAAGGCCAGGCGAGCACGGCAACTGCTCAACTTGGCAAAACATCTCAAGTTCATCAAGGCAATGGCCTCCCCCGCCCTCACCGAAAACCACAAAAAAGAAAAAAAAAGAGCCAAAACAGGACTCAGCAAACGGTCACGTGGGACAAGGCGCAATGAGCCCGAGTCGTCTTTAGTGACGAAAAAAGTTCAACCTCGACGGCCCGGACGGCTTCAAACATTATTGGCACGACTTGCGTAAAGACAAGGCCATTTTCTCCAAGCGACAGTCGGGGGGAGGAAGCGTAATGGTATAGGGAGCTTTTAGCTCCATGGGCAAGACAAGCCTTGCCATTCTGGAAAGCACCCAAGATAGTGGTGCGTACATTTACACCTTGTCGGACCATTTGTTCCCATACGTCGACATTCATTTTGGTCGTGACTGTATTTTTCAGCATGACAATGCATCAATTCATGCGTCTAAAGAGACGAAGGAGCATATGCTCGAAGTCATCGAGTGGCCTGCAAAGTCTACGGACTTAAACCCCACCGAGAACATTTGGGGTGTTCTTGCACGAGCTGTTTACAGCCATGGACGTCAATATTCGTCCAAGAATGACCTAATTTCCGCCATTTTCAAGGCATGGGATGGCATTGGAAACGACTTGATTGTTAAGTTGTTGCACTCGATGCCGAAGCGCGGCATTAGTGTTTTGGAACTCAAGGGAGGTAAAACCAAGTATTAAAGAGCAATATAGAGTTATATCCTTTTTATAACTGCAAATTTTCTCAGGTGGTCATAAACGTATTGCCAACCTCAAATGCATGATCATGTTACTTCACCGAATAATATCATCGAATGGGCCTTCTCACCATTTAAATAGCGGTTACACATTGAACCATTCACTTGGATCAAGTTCCGTGCACTAGCGAAAGCATGGTGTTATTGTATCATCTAAAGTTGAGGGTGGTCATAAACTTATTGCCAGCACTGTAGTCAACTTCTTCTTCGGGGTATGTGTCTACGTCCTTTATTATGCCGACATCGAACGACGTTGAACGACTTGTCAATCTGTGCAATCGGCTGTACTCTCCGCATTGGCGATCTTTGAGTCCTAGAAGTCTCGAAATACTGGTGTACTTGAGATCAAATCGACATCTTTGGATCAAGCACTTGTCGCATCAGTCGTCCATGGCATTCAAGACGAAAGACGATGACGATATCGAAGATGATGAAGATATCGGATCTGACTTAGATTAACATTCCAATGTGTAGAAGTAGGAAAAAATCGGAGGGTATATACAAA